TCGGGCTCTTTGGCTGTGTTCTGAAGGTTGTTCTTCCTAATGTTTCACCAGTCTCTGTGGCCGGCATCTTCAGAGAACAGCGCTCTGTGCTCTGGTGTAGTTGGGTTACCTGTTGTTCCTTTTATCTCTTGACTCCCTACTTTAGCATTCCAATCCACTATAATGTGAAAAATATCTTTCTTTGGTGTCAGTTCTAGAAAGTGTTGTACATGTTCATAGAATTGGTCAATTTCAGCCTCTTCAGCATTGGTGCTTGGTGCATAAACTTGGATTACTGTGATGTTGAAAGATCTGCCTTGGATTCGTTTTGAAATCATTCCATTACTTTTGAGATTGTATTGCAGTACAGCTTTTCCCACTCTTTTGTTGACTATGAGGGTGACTCCATTTCTTCTACGGGATTCTTGCTCACAATAGTAGATATGGTAATCATCTGAATTGAATTCTCCCATACCCATCCTTTTTTAGTTCACTGACTCCCAGCACGTCAATGTTTAGTCTTGCCGTCTCCTGTTTGACCACATCCAGCTTATGAAGGTTCATAGATCTTACATTCCAGGTTCCTATGCAGTATTTTTCTTTGCAGCATCAGACTTTCCTTTCACTTCCAGGCACGTCCACAGCTGAGCGTCCTTTCGGCTTTGGCCCAACCACTTCATTAGCTCTGGAGCTACTTGTCCTCTGCTCTTCCTCAGTAGCCTGTTGGACCCCTTCTGACCTGAGGGGCTCATCTTCCAGCGTCATAGCTTTTAGCCTTTTGTTTCTTTTCATGGCATTTTCTTGGCAAAGATACTGGAGTGGCTTGCCAGTTTTTGCTTTAAGTGGATTGTGTTTATTCAGAACTCTCCACTATGACCTGTCCATCTTGGGTGTCCCTGCACGGCATTGCCCATAGCTTCTCTGAATTACTCAAGACCCTTCGCCATGACAAGGCAGCAATCCATGAAGGGGCCAACTCATCTAGGAGGTGGCAACTGCTTGGAGCTTTTCCCCCTTTAGGCTTCATTTATGTTAATGCTTGACATCTATTTTCTGTGTGCTTTATGATGAAAGAGATTTGGCTACAGCAAAGTCCTGTTCAGGCCTTCCTATCAAATGCAATTAATCACTTCCAGACTGGGATATGATGGGAATTACAGCCTAATGTTTTTGGAGAGCACAAAGCTGGGAAGAACATTGGTGAAGAATTAAAATTTAGGATTGGTATATGTCCCTGTGTTAAGTCAGCGACTCATCCTTTATCACATTTGCCTTTTTTTTTAACAAAACAATAGAATCTTTTGCTTTCTGTATCAACAATATTTGTTTGTAATAAGGAGAAGATGGCTCTTTAGCATAATGTGAATCAAACATTTTGGGTCTCCTCCAAGTTGGGCAATTAACTACAGTACATCTGCTGCATCATTTAAGACCAGCTCGGAACAGCAATCCATCATTATTACCATGAGAACTTCTAACCCTGCAATCCTACGCGTATCTATTCAGAACCAAACCCTGTGTAGTTCAGTGGGACTTATTCTAAGGTGAGCAAGCATAACAGAAACCTAACAGTAAGGCATGTGGCTCATTAAAGCCTAACAAGTTTGATTTGGCATAAGCTTTTGTAGCCTTCAGCCCACTTCATTGCGGCTGGTGAGATGCTGCCCACGAAAGCTTATGCCAAATCAAACTTGTTGACTTTAAAATGTTATATCACTCTGCATTGTTTTTACTTGCAAAAGATTGAGATTGTTACCACCCCTTAGAAGTGTGTAGCAGGGGAAAACAAATTTTTGAAATGCAATGCACACTGGCTATGCTGTCTGGACTTGGAAGTCCAAAACACACAGTGGGCCACCATTCTCCATCCTTGATGTACAGGATTACAACCGCCCATGACATTAAAAAAAAAAAAAATCAAATTCTTGACATGATCATTCCACCAGGTACCACTTTTAAGCCAAGGCCAGCTGTGCCATTGGGCAAAACAAGGCCACCACCTCAGGTGGCAGAGGGAGGGGGGCAACAGTGCCAGCCTTCCCCATAGTTCCTGAGCCCCCTGATCATTCCTTGCTATTGAGGGATAGACCTGGGTGTGTTGCATGGCCTAGCCTTTGTCTCCGAAATCAGAACTTCCCAACCTTGGATCCCCAGATGTTCTTGGATTACAACTCCCAGAAATCCTGACCAGCACAGCTAGTGGTGAAGGCTTCTGGGAGTTTTAGTCCAAGAACATCTGGGGACCCAAGGTTGGGAACTACTGCCCTAAACCCTCTTGTGTGATTTGAGAGGACTGCGTCCTGTTCCCAATGCTGAATATAAATTCTATTGTCAGTCCAACTGGCTGAAATATAGAGAGCAAGGGCAGGTACCCTGCTTGCCTGGGTTGGCTCTGTTATAAGGATGGCCAGTGGCCATATTGCCTGTAGGATTCTGGGAGTTACAGTTCAAAAAACAAACACCTTCCACCTCTGAAATAGGGAGGACTTCTCCAGTTTGTTTGCTGATACTTCTCTTAGTTAGTAACGGCTCTTTTCCCATTGACATCTTACCACAATGCATCTCATCAGACTGATCCTTGCAGTCCGAGATTGAATCGCACTGTGGATTGGGTTTCTTCACACAGCTCCCATCAGCACACCGGTAAGTGAAAAGTCCACAGGGAATTCCTAGAATGGGGGAGTGGAAAGAAGTGAGGAGATCTTCTTGTCTGTCATTACAGCAATCGTTACTATTTTAATCTCACTGTCCAAACAAGCTGTAACCTTTTATTTAAGGATTATCTATGAATATATCTTTAATGGTACAGCCCTCTTCAGGCTATATCTCTTGAGATTATGGGAGGAAAATCACTCATAGCAAAAAATAAAAATAAAAACAAATCCATGTGACAGAGAGGTTATTTCAGGTTACAAAAAGAAAATTAAACTAAAGATACAAAAACCATGGGTGATGAAAGTACTCCCTGGAGTAAGGGAGATAGTTCAAAGATTTGATGGCCAATCTACAGCCACACTACACATTATAACAAAGATTTTATAAAATATAACTAACTTAAAAGAGGCCATTATCTACTTTAGAAAAACAGCTGTAGTGGGGGGGGTTGTTTTTGTTTTGGGTGAGGGGAACTGATATATTACAATGGGGGTGAGTTAGTCCTTCCTTGCTGTGCTATCTGGCAGCTGAAAACAATGCCCCATGCCGTTTGCCCTCAGATCTCACTGATGCAAAAACAAAACAACCCCACCCACCCCCACACACACTCGCCTGGCAGTACTCTGATGTTAGCCAGCTTTAGTGCCATTTGGTGAGAACTGTGGGATATAAATTTCATAATTAAAATAAATATTTAACATCTTCTGACTTGAGCCTATGTTAACTATAAGGCAATTCACTCTAAAGAAACAATAAACACAAAGGCAAACCAAATCTATTGTAGCATCTTTGAAGACTAACAAAATTATTTTGGGGTGAGTTTTCCTGAGTATAACCCCAAAATTTCACACTGGAATAAATTTATTAGTCCTAATGGTGTCAAAGGTGGTACAATACATTTGGCTTGGTTCTGTTTTTCTTGTCACAGAAACAGACTTAATACAGACCAGTATTTGAAATCTGAGGAAACAGTTGTGTTTGATGCCAAAGGACTGACACCAATGTTTTACTGTGGTCCAATTTTTTTGTATGAGATCCTGCTCCCATACCTTCATTGCATTGCTGCTCATCACTCCCATTGACACAATTGAGGTGCTTATCACAGACTGTGGAGAACTCAATGCATGTGCTGTCTTCCTGGCACTGGAATTTTGCAGGACAGACTGGTAAAGCACAAGGAAAGAAAAAGATAGTGAGATCTCCTGAGCCACTCTTCCTAACAGTATAGAGCTGGTCCCTACATGTTGGCTAGGGAATGAAGATGTCACTGGAGGATGTTCCTATGTTGTTGACTCGTCATCAGGAATAAATGGTTAATACTCCTTCCCAAATGAAGCCTATTGGCTCCTAAGAAACTTTGCTGTCTTCCACAAAGTTCCCTTTTGGGTGGAAAGACGAACAGATCTCTGCCAATGATGTAGAGAGAAGAAAGGTGTAGAATGTGCAGTACCACTCACCACAGTTTCTCTCATCTAGTCCATTGGGGCAGTCTTCGATCCCATCACATGCTGGCACACACAGCCCATTCACAGAGCAGAGGAACTCTCTGGGGCATGCTGGCAAGGGAAGGGAAGGACAGCAGCTTATTTAGAGTGCTCAGTTCAAGTGTAATTCAATGGTTGCAAGGATTAGGGTTGCATTTCAGTGCATCTAACTTACCTCAAGTTACATTTGGAGTATGTGTTTAGAAAACAAATCAATCAGCCTTAAAATTCTGGGATGAAAGATGGGGTTGTTCCCTTCACAGATATTCCTACCTTTCATGCATGATTCTCTCTCTCTCTCTGTCTTTACACACACACACACACACACACACACAGAGAGAGAGAGAGAGAGAGAGAGAGAGAGAGAGAGACACCTGTAAGAAGGACCGCCTCCTTCCATATGAACCTACCTGGCAGTTAAGATCTAGCCAGGGGGGCCTTTTGAAAGAGCCGTCCCTTAAGGAGATAAGAGGGACGGCTTGTAGACAAAGGGCCTTTTCGGCAGCTGCCCCCAGACTGGAATGCCCTCCTGACTGAAATTTGTCTGGCGCCGACGCTGATGGCATTTCAGTGCCAGGTCAAAACCTTCCTGTTCCAGAAGGCTTTTAATTGAAATAATATTAGCTGTGGGTCTGATGGCAATTTTAATTGTATTTTAATTATTTTATCTTTTACTGTATTGAATTTTAATTATTGTAAGCCGCCCAGAGACCTCTGGGTAGTGTGGGCGGCATATAAATTGAATAAATAAATAAATAAATAAATAAAATATTGTACATGTGTGTATATTCTCAAATCAAGAAAAAAGCAGCTGGAGAACCCAGAAATCCTTTCTATGAGTTATTCCAGGGGTCTCCAAAATTTTAGGGCTTGTCAATATGTATGACCTTCTGAATAAGTGTATCTGGCGCAAGCATGGCACAGCTGATTTAGGTGGAAACAGTCTCAGAAATATTTGTAGCCCTCCTCACGCATACACACTTTGTCCCACAGCTTGGAAATGTACCTTTTTTGGGTGCAAACTTCCAGAAACCTCTAGTTAGCATGGTTATCATTGTGTCTGGGGATTCTGGAAAGTATAGTCTAAAAGAGTAACGATGTCAAGTTCTGGATTGGCAGAAGTACTAGATAGATGCATATTCTACTGCTAGGAGAACCTCTTTGTAGTATTGTACCAACTGTCCTCTAAAGTCCAAAGTCAACCTGATGGGAACAGAGATCTTCTTAAAGACATTTAAGGAAAGTGTTCTCAGTTATTAAGAAGTCTTGATGTTCTGTTGTCAAGTCTCTAGTTAACAATTAGTCTGTCACTCAATCATGTTAGTCCAGACAGTTTCTATTCAGAAGACACAATTTTATTTCTCAGTCATATTTCAATAAGCTGTGCTGCTGGTTGAGTGACATGTTTTCAAGGGGGTTATACTCACGGTCTGATTGATTATAGAGGCTGTAAGCAGCCTGTACTCCAGGCCCAGTCAGGGAGATCTGAGAGGTGAAGCTAATGGTGACGCCAGCACTGGAAATGACAGGAATCCGTTCAGCGTAGGCTTGCAAAGTGCGTAGGCCACACAATCTGTTTTAAAACAAACACACAAAGAAAGTGGAGACAAAATGTCACAACGTTGAGACTATTGTTGCTTTCAAGTACTGTGTCCTGAAGTAAAATATTGTTTAGGGAAGTGGACATGTCAGCTGCAGCACCTAATGCTTATGAACATTTCTTAATTTACAGCAATTCACACCTAAAAGCTACACCGTTTGGGTTACTGCAACAGGATATATATATTTAACTTATGGCAATTCACATTTAAAAAGCACACTGTTTGCATAACAGTGCAACAAGATATCAGGTGTAATTAATAAGCAAAGCTTATTTTAAATCCCTATAATCGCCCAGAAAAGAGGGTTAGTTAAATGATAAGTGTCTCCTAGGCCCATCCAGGGCTGATGTCTGTGATAGACCCTGTGGGGGCCCTGGATCCCTGGCCCCTGGTCAAAGCTGCCTGATTTTGATATCACCCAAGGTTATTAAAGCACACACAGAGACAAGAAGACTGCTTTTCTTGAACTTCTGACTGTAGCACAGCCATTAAAAATACAGAGCTGGAAGAACTAAAGATACAGAGGATATAACACAGTTGTTATCTGCTGTCAAGTTACCTTCGACAGCAGATAACAACAATGTTATCTGCTGGGGCAATCTCCAAAATATTCTGTCCTCAACAGCCCTGCTCAGCATTTTCAAACTCAAGCCTGTGGCTTCCTTATGCTGAAACCCTGGACTGCCAGAAAGACAGACAAGTCGGTCCTAGATCAAATTAAGCTTCACCTATCTCTTCACCTAGAGGCAAAAAAATGTTGAAACCGAGGCTATCTTACTTTGGGCACATCATGAGAAGGCAGGATTCTCTAGAAGAGACCATAATGCTGGGAAAAGTGGGGGTAGAGGGAAAACAGGAAGATCAAATGCACAGCAGGAGCAGGCAAAAAAAAAGAATATTTCCTAGCAGCTCGCTGCTTGCAAGATGGCTAGTTGCAGCTGACAAAAGAACAGAAAACTGTGAGATCATTTCAACCAACTGAAAAACGAGCTGGAGTATATAGGAAGAAAGGGATTTTGTGCCAGGCAAGAAAAAGGATTTCAGTAAAATTTAGGTCAAACTGACAAAGCGATTTGAAGAAAAACATTTTAATCAAAGGCCCTGTCCAGCTTTGTCTCACTTCATCCATTAGCTTGTTCACTTGGGAATAAGCCCCATTGAATACAGTGAGACTTATAGCTGATTAGATATGCTTAAGACTTCAGTGATATGCATGGGACTGCACTGTTACTTTCTGGTTCAGTGAAAGTGTGTACCTCCAACGTTAGTGGGGATGTGAACTTTTTAGTTCAGTTTTTAGACTGAACTTTGGTGGAGCTATCCAAGGTGCTCAACACTATTCTTCGATTACGTTCAGCACTGTCAATAGCTCATCTTCCAAGTTTGGACTAAAACCCTGAGTGTTTTCAGTGTCCCACTGACACCTGAGCCGCTAACATCAATTGCCTGGATTCCCCCTTCTCTTCCCATGAAAGAACACCCCCACCAGTAATATTGACCTTAATCATACTTGTTGTGGCTATTAGTTTGTAAAATCACCAAACATTTACTAAACTCTGTAGAGATACTGAAGGACAAAGCAGTTTCTGTCTGCAGGCTCAGAAGCTAATAGATGATACAAAGAGAAAAGAGAATGGGGGAGGAACAAACATTGGATCAGCAGCTGCTTCCCTGAGTGAAAAGGGAGGCAGCCCAATCTCTCAATTTTCAGAGATACTCTTCCTGGAAGACAAGCAGCATTGATTTTCTGTGGTCCTTGTTTGTGTGGCCAATGGAGGAACTATACTGTGTTACCCATCATTTCCACAGTCCCAGAATGAGAACTAGGAATGACGTTTATTTTACAAGGCTTCTTAAATTATTTCACCGAAAATGGCCCAATCTCTAATTCATTCTGGAAAAGATTCAAAATGCCCACTGCAGTTTCACACTACCTCTGTATACAAACACAAACTCTCCCTTTCCCTTTCCCTTTCCCTTTCTCTCTCTCTCTCTCTCTCTCTCTCTCTCTCTCTGCACGCTTCCATTTCCTTACCTTCTATTCTGGATAGTCCATTGTCCCTGAGTACATGGGAGGTCATACTTCTGTCTTCTAAGAGTGTAGGCATCAAACCAGAGGACCACACCATATTCCAGAGATGGGACCTGTTGAGATGGAATGCTTTTGTCTAACCTGACCAGCGCTTTGGTCTCATGATCATGAATAGGGGCTTCAGCCGTGGATTTAAAATGCAGACATGAAAGCAATGGCGCCAAGCTGCAGAAGGAGGAAGACGGTTCTGAGAAGAGTGTATGTAGTTTGCACCCTCAAGGAGGAAATCAGATATGGCTCTTTGAGAGAAAAGGACATGTGCAAAACAAGGGAATTAAGATAAATTTGGATTTTGTCCTAGTTCAGATCATGAACCACTTGTTCACCTTGGGTCAACAGCTGTCAGGCTAAACTACTTCACAGGACTGTTGTGAGGAGCAAGGGTGTAGGGGCAAGCAGACAGTCATAAGCAAAGACAGTGCTCCTAGGAGAAAAGGTAAGGTGTAAATATGAAGATAAAGACTGGAAAGAAATTCCTAATGTATATTGCTCACACTTGAGTTTATTAGTTTTATTAGGGTTCTTTCTTACATTTATATCTCACTTTTCCTCCAAGGAGCTCAAGAAGGCACATATGGCTTTACATTTCTCCACTTGATCTTCACAACAACTCCATGCAATAAGCTGAGCAAAGAAAGAATTACTGGTCTAAAGTCATCCCACAATTGTCATGGCTCAGTCAGAATTAGAACCTAGATCTTCCAACTCCTAATCTGGCCTCCAAACTACTATAACACACTGGCTTCTCATGCTGCCTTTTCTTGGTACAGAAACAAATTTTCTGCTGTTACTGCTTATTGCAGGCTGCTCAGTTTCACCAAGGAAAAGTAAGGAAGATCTCACCATCATGTGCCAGGTGCACTGTGTATTGGGTGCATAGTAACTGGGGTAGTACGGAGTCTTGATGTTGCCTTGCAGCTCCCAACTTCTCTTCAGGGTCAGATTCATTTGGCAGGCTGAAAAAGATGGAAATATTCTCTCACCATCTGAACTACACATCACACATTTGTATTCTTTCTTTCTTTCTTTCTTTCTTTCTTTCTTTCTTTCTTTCTTTCTTTCTTTCTTTCTTTCTTTCTTTCTTTCTTTCTTTCTTTTAACAATTCAGAATGAGGGACTTCTCCTGCGGATCACATAAAATTCAGGAGTGAGACTCTTAGGCAAGACAGCCTACAGTGAAGGGCTCTTGTAAGTCTTCTTTGGATGCTTGCTGTTCCCTTTCACCAGCAATTCTGCACCAAGTAGCTCCCCCACGTATGCCTCCACATCAAAATCAAGGGGCAGCTCTGCAGTAGATCTCAGACTGATGTGTTTTTAAACTGCCTACAAGCAATCTTCTCCATTTCTGTGCCTTCACGTGGTGTTGGACTACAATCCCTATCATATCCAGCCAACACTGTAATGGTTGAGGGTGATGAGCACTGTTGTCCCGCAACCTCTAGGGAGGCAAATTCATATGTCATATAGGTCAGTGTCTAAATCCTGACATGCCATCCAACAAATTAGAGGGGATGGTGCTGGCAAAGGTTCAGCCTCTGGTGTTTTCAGGTAGGGCTGAGAAAAGACTTCCCTCTGAAATTTCAGAGAACTATTCCTACTCATGGAGATCAGCAGGGGGAAACCACTGGCCAGTGAACCAGATGGGGCCTAACAGGATTGCCTGTATGGGCTGCCATGGCTCAACTGTGGGCCATGTAGTACAGAAGCGAAATAGCATACATGTCTGTGAGAATGAATGAGCACGTAAGAGAATTTTGTCCCTGCCTACCTGAGCTGGTACCATCAATATCAGAATGGGCCTATGTGAAGTATATTTGTCCAACAGACTGTACTCTGCATGCAGGGAAAGGGAGATGCTTCTTCACACCTGCCCCAGGCTATACTTAGATATGTAAGCCAATGGTTTGACTTGTAAGGAAGTTTCTCATCTGCTGTGGGTTGCACCTACCTCTTTGTGCCATATTCCCATTCTGTCTAGCTTTGTTTTTTTAAAGTCACTCGTCTTCTGTTGATCATAATCTACCATGGATAATCTCCCGTGACACGACTCCCTGTCCCCAGTGGTAGCATTAATGTCAGGTAACAAATGGACTTCTCTATCTTTGGATGATGCTTGCTGTCTGGACATCAGTGATAGCAATAATTTACTGTCTGGACATCAGTGAATTCCAGTGCCAATTTATTGTGTAATGTTTTTGGAGTGCTATGTGACAGCTGTTCCACTGCATCTCAGATACTGCCAGGATAAATGATAAAATAGACACAGTGATGGATAGTGAAGGAAGCTAATGGTTTAACAAAGAGTTTCTGTGCTCTCCCTAAGTCTCCTTCTCATTCCAGAAACCTTCTGGCATCCTTGCTCACCTTCAAAGGGCACGGCCTGGACAGAGAGTATGAAAGGATCATAGTAACTGTACATCCCCTTCTTCCACACCACCGACATGACAGGACCAGAAGACAGGACTTCTACCACAGGCTCCTGACGGCTGCAGCCATATAGCCTAGGGGAGAGAACATGGAAACAGAGGAGATGGGTGTATTAACAAGGTGGAATAATGAAAAGGAAAAATGAAGGTGGGAGACAAGATGGCATCCCTGCCCTCCCCCCCCCAGCAATCTTGTGCTAGAGCACAAGTCAAATGTTTCCTCAAAACTGAGAGTGGGACAGGAACTTCCACCAGGCTTGGAGACAGCAGGATAGTATGGGGGATCTGTATGGCATAAACACTTGTGTTCTCCAGTAGAAAGCATTGGTTAGAGCAGTGGTCCCCAACCTTCGGCCTCCAGATGTTTGTGGACTTCAACTCTCAGAAATCCTGGCCAGCAGAGGTGGTGATGAAGGCTTCTGGAAGTTGCAGTCCAAGAACATCTGGAGGCCCAAGGTTGAGGACCACTAGGTTAGAGGACCTGGGATGCACATGCAGGAGATTCCTGTTGCAACATCTCGAAACATGCCACAGCAGTTATTTCAGTCTACCTAACGATAGTGCCAGCCCTGCAAGTTTTGCTGGTCACTGTAGTAACCTATTCATAAACTAATGCTAACTGCTGGACAGTTTGAGCGTAACTTGCACTCTAGTTACACATGGGAAATGGGGGAGAAGGAATTCAGGATTGCAGTTCCCCCTGCCATTCATAATACTATGAGATCAAGGTCACCTACGAAGTGATGAGTTGTTTCTCCAGTGGCCCGGCCACATCATACATGGCCAGTCGATCCCTGCATTCTGGGAGGGTCCATTCCAGGCGCAGCTTGATCATATGACCTCTGGGCCCATGGAGATGCCAAAGACAGCTGGAAGCTAAGTAGTCTGGCCCCTTCAGTTTTAGGACTGAATCTTCCCTGATGTAACTATATCGGTAGCAGCCTGAACAGGGAAGAAAAAGAGAGTTCCACTCAACTGAGGATCAGATCACAGTTTAAGGCAAATCTGTATTTTGTCCTCTTACAACATTATCCCTACAAGCACACAAATCTTTGAGTGCTACTTGCCTGGGGCATCAGACATGCAAAACAAGGTATGTTATCTCCCACGTTCTCAATTACAAAGCAAAAGTAGCCTTTGGCATCTTTAAACTCTCTCTGGTGTTTTTCTCCACACTGCCTTTCTTTATCATGGATGGGCCAAAGAAGCAAGCAGTTGTCAGACAAAAACATCCACCCACAATGAAGTATAATTATAAAAATGCAATTGCCAGCTATAAAAATGACATAGAATGCTAAAAAGAGCTTTCATCTCACTTCAGGATATCATATTAATTTGTGAGATTTTTACAAGTCATCACAATTCCCTCTTCACAACAAAAAATAAAAATATAGTGGGGGAAATGAACAGCCTACCCAATGTGGACTTCAGCACTATTATGTCTTTCACACTGGATTCTGTCAGGAAAAAAAGTACACAAAAAAGGCAAACACATGAGATGGTGCAGAACAAGACAAAAGCAACAGCAACCTAAACAAAGCAAAGGAGATGAAAGAAAAAGGCTGTCAATATCTGCCTTCCTTTGTTATTTCTGAACATCTAGCTTCAGATGCAATGCAATCTATAATTTAGAGCAGCAGGGAATGTATGACCCTATAGATGTCGATGGACTACAACTACTGTTATCTTTGATCATTGGCTATGCTGACTAGGGCTGATGGGTGTTGTAGTCCAATAACATTTGGAAAGGCACATACAAATGCCATCCTAGGTTTCTTGCGACACAAGGGAATCTGCTTGAATGCTCCCCCTCCAAAATATTTAACAAGCAGTATCTGGTTTTTCATTGGAACAAGCAGATCAGAAACCACTCTTTGAGCTAGGCTTGTTTCAAGGAATCGTAGCTTAAAAAGCAACCATAGTTTGGCAAATAAATGTTATCTTAAACCCAGAACTAGATATTTCTGAGCATTTTCTCCTGGGAGAAAGGGTGGTGGTGAACATGTGAACTACACAATCCTGTTACAACTCTCATGAAGTTTGATGGAACTTTTGTATCGCTACACAATTATGGCAGCGTGATATCACTTTAAGTGTCATGGCTGTACTCTAGGGCAGGGGTCTCCAACCGCTGGTCCGTGTGCCCCCACCCACCCGCAAGTGCGCGATGCCCACCCATGAGTGTAAGGGGTGCCCCCGCCTCCTAACCGGTCCAGGGTTCCAAAAAGGTTGGGGACCACTGCTCTAAGGTAGTGGCTCCCAACCTTAGGTAACCCAGGGATACTTGGACTGGAATTCCAAGACTCTTTCACCACCAGCTGTGTTGGATGGAGTTTCTGGGAGTTGCAGTCCAAAAACACCTGGGTTACCCAAGATTGGGAACCATTGCTCTAAGGTATCCTGTAGTTTGGTGAGATTTTTAGAGCTGTTTGCTAAAGAGCTACGGTTCACTCTTCCGGCCTACATCAGAGAAATCTATACTACACCTAAGGTGTGTAGTATAGATCTCTATATCATGGCAATTAAAAGTGGTATCAAGCTTGTAGGACAACTGTAAGATAAACCCCATTTAACATTTCTCCAGTGTACGGCTTATGTGCTCCTCCTATACATAGGCCAGTATCCTATAACTAGTCTCAACTAGAAATGACCCATTAACTTAGTGGGATTTAGATAAGTGTTGACTTACCATTCAACAATTGATTCAATGGGTCAACTCTCTAGCTGAGATGAAGAATAAGATGCTGGTTCTAGTGATGCTGGCGCTGATCATGGACATTCCATATTGTCATCATAGCTTCTAGGAAGTAACAGACTTTTCTCTATAACATGTTCTAACCATGGGTTTGTGTGATTGGTTTTTTATCATATCTCATGGAAGGAAGCATGCGTGTCAATGCTGGGCATGATGAAACACTCTTTGTTCTAAACCTACTGTCAGCAGACTTCCTTGCATGACCTAGAGTAATAAAACTACCCAGCACTGGCAGAGACAATGAGCCACCAGGGACTCTGGTTTCTTTTGCTTCCTTCTATTGCCTCCTGTTTCCTTGTTTTCTCAGTCCTTAGCTGTAACCCTCATGGCAACTTGGGAGGGGGCAGTAGGATGGATCTGCTAACAAACATATATCATTCTAGGCCCATCTCTGTTACAATACAACCTATTTTGGGGTAGCTGGGTCTTGAATGAGGTATCTAGACCCTGGCAGAAAGAAAAATGGCTAACTGACTATGACCATCATCATTATTACATTACTGGCATGATGGTATGGCTCAACACAGCTACTTTTTTAAAAAAAGAACTATCTGGGGAGGAAGTACTGGCTACAGGGACTACAGTGGGGTCTCGACTTACGAACTAACTATCTGAGGTGGAAGTACTGGCTACAGGGACTATCATGAATCATGACGTTTTGAGTTTGAACATTTACAATGATGTGCATTCCTTCTGCTGTTAAAAAAAGAGACCCCCAGATGCTCAGAACTGGTTACAAAATGTAAAGCACACAGCAAAAATAAAGGTTAAAAACAGAAACATAATGGGAAAATAATCATATAAACAATAACAAAAATAGGCACATTAAATTATCAAGTAGGAAGAGCACAACACAGTAGATTCACAGACTAAAATTATATATTAAAGAGCAAGTAAAAATGAGAAAAGTCTAAACATGGCACCCTGGAATGAACACTGTTTGCAGTTTGGCCCTTTCCTTAACTTTGCTGCGTTCGTAAGTCGAGACCCCACTGTATCATGAATCATGACATTTTGAGTTTGAACATTTACAATGATGTGTATTCCTTCTGCTGTTAAAAAAAAAAAGACCCCAGATGCTCAGAACTGGTTACAAAATGTAAAGCACACAGCAAAAAAAGGTTAAAAACAGAAACATAATGGGAAAATAATCATATAAACAATAACAAAAATAGGCACATTAAATTATCAAGCAGGAAGAGCACAACACAGTAGATTCACAGACTAAAATTATATATTAAAGAGCAAGTAAAAATGAGAAAAGTCTAAACATGGCACCCTGGAATGAACACTGTTTGCAGTTTGGCCCTTTCCTTAACTTTGCTGCAGATGGCTTCTCCTCAGCCCCCACCTTTCTCTTCTATGATTTCCAACAATTGCCTCAGCTATTTCCTCATCCTCACCCCCACCTCCATATCTCTCTTCTAATATCCTGGCACTCTTAATCAGACACACCCCTCTTTTATCCTTTCCTTCTCAATTTAATTTGCAATAAAGTGCTTTCTTCATAGAAAACAAAACATTTGGGATATATCTCACCAGGAACATTTAGCACTGCTACCTTTTATTTATTTATTTGATTTATTTGATTTATACCCCACCCATCTGGTCTATACAGCCACTCTAGGCAGCTTACAACATAACATAAAACATTAAATATTTATTTATTTACTTACTTACTTACTTACTTACTTACTTACTGACTTACTTACTGACTTACTTACTGACTTACTCACTGACTTATACATACCCCACCCATCTGGTCTATACGACCACTCTAGGCAGCTTACAACATAACATAAAACATTAAAACCAAGAATACTACATAAAACATCCAATAGGAAATTACAATACAAAATGAAGAGGAAATAAATAAAAAGAGTGAGAGTTCTATAGTGCTAAACAGGATGGGCAGGGGGAAATGTCTGTTAGAAACTGGACCCATTTCCCACTTACTTTGATTTTATTTTGCACAGCATTTTCCCATCCACCTGTATCTGGGCCGCACTACATAACTACAACACACATACATACTTACGCTCTGAGCTACAGTGTAAACAGGAGAGAATCAGGGTGATGCCCATCCCTGAAGCAGAAAGATGAGCACATTCTGGGGGACTGGTCTTCCACCCCATGACCTAACATGGGCCACACTGCATAGAGTTGCCAGGTCGTAGGGTACTGGCTGAAGTAATAGGAATTGCTATGCTCCTTCACGTTGAGTAGCTCACAGAGTAGCTCTGCTAAATGTAGTAGATCAGCAAGACATGGGACTTCCAAACCATGAGCACTAGTAGAGATTAAACCCCTCTGTGTTTACCCATAATATAAGGAACGGATAGTCAAAGAGATGAGCCTTTACACAAGGTACCTACAATACAAAATCTAATGCCCCACTCAAACATCATCACCAGAAATAAGGTGGCTGTCTAGGGGGGTGGGGTAGAAATCTATAGATCAGCAAGACATGGGACTTCCAAACCATGAGCACTAGTAGAGATTAAACCCCTCTGTGTTTACCCATAATATAAGGAACGGATAGTCAAAGAGATGAGCCTTTACACAAGGTACCTACAATACAAAATCTAATGCCCCACTCAAACATCATCACCAGAAATAAGGTGGCTGTCTAGGGGGGTGGGGTAGAAATCTAATAAAATAAACCCCTTCCCTGACTGAAAGCTATATCCTGCAGTCAATCTGTCAGTGATCAGGAAAGCACAAATCATCCCACATCTCATTCTGAGAGAAGGATGAAAGGGCTACTTCAGAAGTAGAACTTCAGGCAAGGTCAGAATTATCCTGCCCCTGCCCCTGCCCCTCCCCCCACTTGCAGTGGCTTTTAAATTATTCCCATCCCTTATTAAATATCTATTCCCATCCCTCTGCTTCTTCATTTGTGCTGCCTTATCAATAAATGTTCCCGTCTGCAATGTGCTTCTTTGCCCCTGACTTTCAATCCCAATTCCTATGTCAGAACAGGAAAACAAAATCACAGAACATTGGACCTCCGTTGGTTGTATCAAGAGTCAGATTAAAAGTTTGTGAGGAAGGAACACTGAGTTATAAAGAGGAGCAGTTGCGGGGTAGGTATAATAATCTGGATCCAGGAATTTAAGATGTGTTGAAAGGGACAGTGTCCTATCAGAAACATCTCCCAGTGGCCACTATATTTACTTTCCCAGATTTTCTGGAGCAAGAAGGAAATTGCAACCATAAGTCACTGGGGGGAAGTTGCCTTCAGTTTTGCCCCCTCCTGCACCAACTATAAAATTTGCTAGAACATTTTGCTCCAATTTTTCCCCATCCAGCTTTGCAAATTAAAGCAAGAGGTACCTTATACAAGGTACATCAGTGATGTCATTGTGTTTCGCATTTTCTGGTTACTACAAGTGACAACTGATGATGTGGAACAATAAGAAACAGGCAACCTGCAATGTTGCACTTTTTGTGTTGCTAGTTATTACCAAGAGTGAGCAAAGAAAGTGCTGACACTTTTTGGCAGGTGCAATGTGTTTCCCATGAAAATCAGCCTAGGTCGTTTTTATTTTGCAAAAATTTGTAAGATACACACTAAAAAGTATACTTCAACAGCACTGGCATTTAAACCAGAAACTAGTCTGCTTTTTAAACAGATACGTCTGTTCCTAGTTTTTGAAATTCATACAAAATAAGGAGAGTTAATGCAGGACAAATCCCTTC